AGACTGGTGTAAATCACTAGATTCCCCCGTGAAGGGTAGAGGATGCTCTAGGAGGGTCCGGAGATGGGAAGAGGACTTCCACCTACGGGCCACCCCAGGAGGGTCTGTGGTAGCCATGCTGCCTGGGACCTGGGACAGAGTCCCAGGGTGCTGGCGGAGAGCACCGAATACCCCATCATGGTTTGTAGTGTTGGTGACCAGGTCACCTCTTAATTTCCCAGAGATAAAAAAGGAAGGGGTTGGTTTGGTCTGGAAATGAGAGCTGATGGTGCTCGGGTGACCTGAGATTGTCTTTTCGGTTTAGGCTGGTGTGGGAGACAGTGTAGGAGAAAAGATCAAAGCCAGCGGGAAGACAGTGGTGACTGGAGAGAAAGACGAGAGCGGGGTAGGAGGGAGTAAGGGGAGAGGTGTCAGCAGGCCGAGCCTTCAGAGCTGGAGCGGGATGAGCCGCGGGAGGGCAGTGGGTAACGCACCACTTCGGGCCATCATAGACGACAGCTGGAGCAAGAGCTCAACTACGGCAGGAGGCTTGTGGCGGAAGCAGAAGCCGGAGCCGCTGCTACAGCCATTCTTAGAAATCACGTGTCCTGGGACCCCTTCTCTTGGAGCCTGAGACTGTACGGTGGCTACCAACTCCTCCTGGCCCCTCAGAGCCCACTGCCCTTAGGTGCCATGTTCAGGGCAGACCCAGGACCCTGGTCGCCCAGATCTCCCACGTCTGTGTGCATGCTTCACGGGGGACCCTGTGGTCTTCGCGGGCTGAGCAGCCCCTTTCCTGCTCTCTGCAGCAGACACCGTGGACCTGAACTGGTGTGTGATTTCTGACATGGAAGTCATTGAGCTGAACAAGTGCACCTCAGGCCAGTCCTTTGAAGTCATCCTGAAGCCGCCCTCCTTTGACGGGGTGCCTGAGTTCAATGCTTCGCTACCCAGGCGGCGAGACCCTTCACTGGAAGAAATCCAGAAGAAACTAGAAGCAGCCGAGGAGCGAAGGAAGGTAAGTGCTATCTTCTTCCCTCCATCTCAGTGTGAGGGGGAGGGAGTTGGTTTAAGAAAGTTAAGGAAAGGGTGGCAGGGGATGAAGGTCATGATATGGGCCACTACCACCCCGTCATGTGCCTTCTGTGTTTTCTGTTGATTATTATGTGTCAATGCTGATGCCATCTTTGTGTATGCTTTTCTTCATCTTTCAAGCAGAAAATAATCTTCCCCTCCCTTAAATTCCTGTAGCATTTCCTCTCTGCCACTTAAGGCACATGTCACATGCTTATCTCTACTAGACCTGCAGTTAACAAGATGTCCTAGGTCATGCTGATATATGTCTTATCTCTACTAGACATTTTTCCTTCTTAAGTTTCTAGGACAGTGCCTGGCACATAGTATATGCTCACCCAGTATTTGTGAGTGAATGAATGATAGCAAGGAGAAAAAGAGAACGGAGGGTATGGTGGGAGTACCCAGTACGTCTTCCTTACTTCCTGCCAGAGGGCCAAGGACCAGGCTCAGGGAGGTGTGCTCCGGGTGTGGGGCTCTTGACGGTAAGTCGTAATAGTATAAATACACCCTGACATCTCACCTTCAAGGGCCCCTTTCTCTCTCTGTGCTTCCATAGTACCAAGAAGCTGAGCTCCTGAAGCACCTGGCGGAGAAACGAGAACATGAGCGGGAGGTGATCCAAAAAGCCATAGAAGAAAACAACAACTTCATCAAGATGGCTAAGGAAAAACTGGCCCAGAAGATGGAATCCAACAAGGAGAACCGAGAGGCCCACCTTGCTGCCATGTTGGAACGGCTGCAAGAGAAGGTAGGTGGTCCTGGACCGGAAAGGAGACCTCTGGGGTCCTCTCTCCCTCCATGGCAAGTATAATGGACCTACATGTCATTTCGGGGAGCAAAGAGCCCCAGGCAGGAATGGGGATATTTCTGTTAGGCTGGATCCTTAGAGTGTTCCAAGGACTGACTGTAAGAGAAGTTGTAGGCAAGAATCGCGGACCAAGCTTTGGAATTCCTTGGGAGTTTTGCTGCACAGCTACACAGTTGAAATTTCCCATTGTTTTAGGAAGATCAGATCTCTTATCTTAGAGAAACAGCCTGCCTAATGCATGGGAGTAGGGACGAACAAGCGGTTGTACTGTCCTGGCTTCATCCTTGAATGGGCCGATTTGATTTAATGAAAGATGCTGACATGAGCTCTTGGCTCTAAGCCAAGAGTATGATGAGCTGAGTTGTCCATTGAGCAGGAAATACGATTCTCTCTAAACCTCTTGATATGGACCGAGTGAGTCACAGGTCTTGCCAATATTCTGTTTTTTGTCAATAAACCAAATGGTGTCACCTAAATATGAGAAACATGAGAGACTGAGGTTGGTCCCACGTGTCAGCAGAAGAATAGCCCGTTGTGCTGAGAACACGCTGGCCTCATTTCCTGCATCTCAAGGCTGCCCCAGTTTCTCCTGCAGCTCCCGGGAGAGCTCCAGCTCTGTGTTTTATTTCCAGGAACCGCCTGCTGCGCGGTGACTCCCGGGACCCGATCGGTGGCCTCGTCCCATGGTGAGCAGCGTGGTCCCCGCTCCTTCCTGCCCGTCCACTTAGAGTCTTAGGCCCTTGGCAACAGCTGCTAGAAAGATCTGGTTTCTTCACAGGGGATCTGAATGCTGCATAGGCCGTGCAGCTGGCCAGCATGCGGGCAGCCCCTCGGCTCTTACACTCCATCCTTCTAGGGACAATGAGGCCTCCAACAACTATTAGATGGGAGGGAAGTATCTGGTTCTGATGTCAGTCTTCCTCTGTTATTGAAGATGACTGGGAGCAAACTCTTACAGGAAAACGTCTGAGATTGGGATAGATGGGGCATGGGCTTTCAGGCCAAACCCAAGCAAATAACCGAGGCTAGGGCCTTGATATGGCGTTTGAAAGACCGCAAAGCACTTTTATTTCATCATACCTCTATCTTCACAACAAGCTCACGAGGCAAGATGACTGTGTTATCCACACTTACCAGTGAGAGAACCGTGTCAGAACATCAAAAGACTTGCCCGGGGTCACACAGCCACTAAGTGGCAGAGCTAGGACTAGAACCCAGTTCTCTGGCTACCAGTCCAGGTGGCTTTTTCAACACTTGTTCCAAGAAGAGCAGCCCACAGTCATCCTGCCAGTCTTTGTTAGAGAGAGGGCCACTGGAGGCCATGGAAAGGGAGTCTAGAAACCTAGGGTTCTGCCCAGCAAGCTCACCTGGGAATGGAGGTAGATTCTGAGGTGGAGAGATTGGGAAGGTCCATGCTCTGGAGTCAAAGCTCTGCAGGTAAGGTAAGGCTCAAAGCAGCAAGATGTCAGAGCAAACATTTGAGAGGGCATTGCTCTCCTGGGGTCTTGACCCCTATTCATCCTTGCCCACTGGTGAAGGTAGGAGGTAGAATTAGAGGGAGGGGTGTGGTTTCCGCCCTGCCCCAGGCTGGGAACACCATCAGCAATATCTTCTGTGTCAGTATTTGTGTGAGTCACCGACCAATCTGCACCAGACTTACATGGTATAAAGTTTAAAATGACAGATACTCGGACCCTACGCCAGCCCTACCAGCCCTGGCTTTCTAGGGATGGTGCCAAGGACCTGCGGTTAACAAGCTTTGTAGGTCATGCTGATATGTAACAGGGCTGAGAACCACTGCCCTAGCTGCACCATTCCCCACATTTTCCCCAGAGTCATGGAAAGTTCTAGGGCCTCTCCAGGAACCTGGACTGCCTCAGGAGGCCTTCTCCAGACTGACTGGTGATATCTGAATGTATACCAGGGTCTAGTAGAAACAATATTTATTGAGCACCTACAATGTGCAAGGTACTGGAGGAGGAACTGGGGGATACAGAGAAGAAAAAGGTGTGCTCTCTGCCCACAAGGAAGTCACCGTTTGATAGAGGGCCCAGATATGTGCACAATGAACAGTAATGTCAGGCAGACCACCGTCAGCCCTAGAGGTGAACACAGAAATCTGCAGGGCAGAGCTTCCCCTCCATCACCCTCTGGTCTTTAAAGAACAGAGAACTGAGTCCTGACAGTGAAGCGAATCGGTTGAGGTCACACAGCTGATGGGCCTTTAATGGGAGATCCCTTCCTTTGTCCTGATGATGCTGTGAAACAAAAGAAGGTTCTCTTAACAAGACTTGTTTGAAAGTCCACTTTTTGGAGATGGAAAACATTTCCAAAATTTCTTCAGTCAGTTTGTACTTTAAGGGGCCTCATCTTTCATCAGGGGGCTTAGACAACCTTTGCTAAGGAGACGGACAAGAATCTAAAGCAGCAGCCAAGGTGCATGTATGTGTGGGGGACTCCTGTCTGACTACCTGCCCCTCTGGCACAAACTACACTGAGCTGTTCCTTACAAAGTCAAGCAATGTCGTCGGTGCAACCCCAGAATGGTCAGGTGTGGGAGGGAGAGGCTGGTGGGCTCTGGGGTCGCTCTGAGGTGGTCCCCCCACTGCAGGCTGGCCCCGGTCAATGAGCTCCCTGGGGCCATACCAGCCGTCTCACTCACCTGCCACCCGCCAGTCTCACTTGCCACCTTCTGCCCCTTCTCAGGACGTCTGTGCAGGCCCTGCTCTTCACTCGTGTGGCAGCCATTCTTTGCTTTGGGTTCTCCTGCCCTTCAGCCTCCCTTTACCTCGGGGAAGCCTGTGTGACCCGCCCCTCTTCCCTCCCTTTCCTCCAGGACAAGCACGCGGAGGAGGTGCGGAAAAACAAGGAGCTGAAGGAAGAGGCCTCTAGGTAAAGCCCTGAGGCCAAAGAAGTTTCCAGAACGGCCGGACAGCTCCAGCAGCTCCGCAGTTCCTGAGGCAGCCTCGCCCACCGCCGGCTGCTCTCCCAGCACTGGGGTTTGGGGGGTGGGGGGTGGCCAGGGGTTGTTCCCTCTGCTTTTGGTGTTTGTACATGTTAAGAATTGACCAGTGAAGCCATCCTATTTGTTTCTGGGGAACAATGATAGGGTGGGAGAGGGGAAAGAAGGAGAGAGTTTGGGAAAGGGAGGTAGAGAAGGACTCACAAGCACTGCAGCCCTGCCCACTGCAGAGTCAGGTCAAGTCCTTGGCTTTTCTTCACAGTAAACATCCAGGCACATGTTGAGGGGAGTTGAAACAGGGCAGTAGAAGCTCCGAGGGAAGTACGGAGTCCTGGGTGGGGCAGTGGCTGCAGGGCGTGGCAGGAGGGGCCCAGAGAGATGGTGGGGGGCCGGGAGGTGTTGCTCCCGCCCTGCAACAGCTGGGATGAGGTCTGAATGTGTGTGTCTTAACCATCATCTTTTGATCATCATGACCAATGAAATATTTATTCCAAGTCTCCAGTTCTTTATTTCCTGAATTTGTCTCTTGGATGATTGCTAGAATATTCTTGAATTCAGCTTCCACCCATCAGGTGGCCAATGTCCCTTCTGTTCCTTAGTTTGACCATGACAGCATCTGAAGTGCCAGGCAAGGCGGGTTGAAAGATGCTAGCTTCTGGCATGACCGAGAAGTGTGCTTTGCTTTCTCTCCTTCTACTTTGAAACCTCCTTGGTGGGCTGCCCGCTACTGGATTGAGTGCACTGAACTGCTGAGAAAGGAAACCCAGCCTTCCCTTCTGTGGACTGACATTCTGATGTTGTTGCCAAGGTGCAGAGTAAGAAGGAAGCCATCCTCACTTGGGGGGGTGGGATTCCAGGCAGCCGCGAGAAAATGAAAGAAAATGAAAATGAAAGGTTTGTCAGTGGAAGCAGAGGAGGTCATTTCAGACCCACCAGTCACCTTATCCAGAACACGAATCCATGGCTGGGAAATGAGTCTCCCCCTTGTCTTTCCTGCACACAGGAGTGGGTAGGGGGACGACCTTCACGAACAGGGGCCCAGGGCATCTCCCCACCCTGCCCTGAATACTGTGTAGCTTTGTACAGCTTTGCAAAAAAACCATTTGGCATTGCCTCGCCACCCCCACCAGTGGTTCTAAAATTTAGCTTCATTTTAGGACGAGATAACAGGAGGGGTCAGAGAGGATGACGATGAGGAGGTTGAGGACGGTGGTGGTGGTGGTGGTAATGGTAATGATGGGTCCTCACACTTAGGTAGATATATATAAAATCTCACTTAGTCTTCATAACAACCCTACCCAGTGGGCATTCTTATTATTCCATTTGGCAGACAAGGGAACTGAGGGATAAAAAAGTTAAGTAACTTGCTCAAGGCCATACAGATAATAAGTGGGCCAAAAGGTCTAGAAGTCTGGCAGTTCGTCCCCAGGGTCCACACTCTTAGCCACCGCACTGCGCTGCTTCTCTGCATTTCCGGACTAGGATAGGAGTCCCAGGACAGTGTTTCTTAAATTGCAAGTCGAGAATTATTGGATTGTGAAATCAACTTGTGGGTGCCACCCAACTTTATTTCTTAACCACGGAATAGAATAGGAAACAAAATATTGAGGTGATCACAGGCAATATGGGAGGTCTTGTTTTATGGAAATTGTGTTTCAGTGTTGTATTTGTGTATGTTTTAAATCACAGCATAAGATGCATTTCTTCCTGGGGGTTGCAATCAAAACTCTTTGAAAGCCACGGTCCCCGGAGACCAGAGCTACAGCTCCAGGGCTCTTAGGAAGCTGTGGAGCTTGAGAAAGTGAGAGCCTGTGGTCATGCAGTCAAGAATTGTCTGCTTCTGAGTAAAAGGAGGAAAGAATGGCCTCAAAGGTCTGTTCTCCCAAATTTGCCCCACCAACGTCTTCATCCTCCACGGGATGGTCACCCAAGGCCAGGAGGGAGCTCAATTCCCACTACCCTCATTCACCAGAGTCCTGCACTTACCAGTCATTTTCTGATAAACCCCGTTGGTGCACATGTCCTGCCACCCATCCCCTGAAGCCCTACTGATGCACGTGTCCACTCTTTGCATATACAGTTCCCTTGCTTCATTGAGTTGCTTTTCCCTGCCTGGATAAGTGAATTCCTATGCATTTTTAAAAATTCAGCTCCGACACTAGGTTTTCCTGACTTCACCAATACTTCTGTACCTCTTATATGCTTTGAGTACTGTGTAATTACTTGTTTACGTATCTTTCTGATTTATTAGACTTGAATTTCTTTGAAAACAGTCACCCATGTAGAGACTCCTCCAGAATTCCTGTACAGGATGGGATGACGGGCAGCAATCTGATGGAAAGAAAAGCCAGGGCACTTGTCTTGAAGTTTCTTTTGCACAGCATTTTACTAAAGCCGTGTATTGAAGACCCAGAAAACACTATCAAGTGCACATATCAAGAAACGGAGGGGCTAATCCAGATTATTCAGGGCACTAAACCCCACCAATGAGACACCCCCTGCCTGGCTCCTACTAATCCCAGGTGCCTCACCCTGAAAACTGAAAACTGCAATTATATGCTCAGCATGGGACTAGCTTCCAAGCATTAAAAAGCAGTTCCCACATTGGAAGGATTCACACACCAGCTGGGACATACATGGAACCACCACCACAATGGTTCTTGAGTCTTTAATTTACATCAGAACCCCTCTGAGAGCTTGTTAAAAGGTCCATTACAAACACTGGGCATTTGTAAATGAAAACAATTGACCATACTCACTGAAATAATATCTTCTGAAGATGTTGTTTCGGAACTTACATTTTTACAAGCAATTCTCCAAGTTTTTAGGGGCCGATCATGACACAGCCTGAGGAGTTTCTGAACAGTTAAGAATTAGAGCATAGGCCGTATTTCCAAGGGCAAGGGGAAGGGCAGGGGTGCTGCCAACTGGAGTCACTGGAGAAGCTTTCACGGCATAGGCAGCCCTTGAGCTGACCTTTAAGGATGAAGAGAATCTGAACAGACAGACAGGAGGAGGCAGGCACAGGAGGGCCGAGCTGGAGATGCGGGTTGGCGGCCATGAACACTGGGCAACAGCTGCATAGAGCTCAGTGAATTCATCACCCAGGAAGGATATGTTTAAAAAAAAAAGGGCTCTTGGGACTCCCATGATGATACAAAAGGAGTAATTGGGGTCGTGGAAGGGCAGAGTAAAAGAGTGGCTTATTTTAAATTCTGAGATCCCAAACTAGTGGTTTTCCAAGGAAGCAGTAATGCCTCCTAAAGGGTATTTTGGAAATGGGCAGCAGCGGTCCTGGCTAACACTAGGAGCAAGCACTTGCTTTGAATGGGGGGAGACCAAGGATGCTGGATACGCACCAAGAGAAGGTCCCACATCACTCGCAACTTCTGAATGTAAGTGAAAAACCCATTTATAATGCACCAAGTTCAGAACCTAACTCAGTTTCGCAAATAAACACAAACTCCCTCCCACCCATCCCCAGTTCAAATGTTCCCTGACTTTTGCAGGACCGCCACGCCTCAGCTCGGCTGGTCTCGTCACTGCCCCTGGACCGATCTCACCCCTCCGTGCTTGCTCCTTGCCTCCTGTTCCTCTCCATTTATCCTATTCTTGGACTTGATTCTTTTCTCCTACTCAGTGCATTTTGCCCTTGGAAAGACAAAAGGTTACTTTGAACCCACTCTGAGAAAACATAAAAGGAAGCCTTGAAACAATCATACTGGTTTTTAGCAAATTAAAGGCATATCAGAATAAGGTCCAAACTGACATAAAGGAACCCTGTAAAACACAGGACCCAGTAGTGGAGGATTCAATATGTCGGGCATCCAATAAGAATTTACCAGGCATACAAAGAAGTAGGATGGTATTACATCCATAACCAGAAGGAAAATCTATGGAAGCAAATATAGAAGTGACAACTGTGATAGAATTAACAGACAAAGATTTTAAAAGAGCCACTAGAAATACATTCAAGAAAGTAATGGAAGAAACAGAAGAAAAAAAAAAATGACCCAAATGGAACTCCTAGAAAAAAAATACAATATTCGGGAAAAAAAAAACCACTAGATGGTATTAATGGCTGGTTAGTATTGAAGAAGAAAACTTGAAGTCAAAGAGAAAGCAATAAGGCTGTGTAGAACTAAGCACAGAGAGAAAAGAACTAAAGAAATGAGGAGGGCATCAGGGCCTATGAAACAAGACAAAATATATTATCATATGTGAAATCTGAGCTGCAGGAGAGGAGAATGTGGGGGTGGTGGTGAGGAAACAAAGATACATGAAGAAATAATGGCTGGCATATTCGATATTTCATAACAAGTGTAAGCATCACATTTTAAAATCCAACACACTCGAAGAAGGATGAACAGAAAAATCATATCAAGGTACATCCCAACCAAATGGTTGAAAAGCAGTGATAAAGAGACATCTCAAAAGCACCTAGAGAAAAAAAGACATTGCAGAGAGTAGATGAAAGCTAAGAGTGATAGCATTCTTTTCAGAAAACTGTTATGGGATGAATGTGTACTCCCAAAATTCTTATGTGGCTTATTAGCTACACCTCCTATTTCGTGGTTGTCGTCTTCCTTATGGTGATTGCTGTCTTAGTTGTTACTCTAAGGCTTACAATTAAAAAAAAAAATCCAATCCAAAACAAAACAAGAGCAAAGGAACAAAGAACATATGGACAAATGTAAAACAAGTAACAAGAGGGTATATTTACATCTAACTATATTGATAATTTTTTTCATTTCTTTTTGTCTCAGTCTTACTGAGATATAATTTTACAGCACTGTAAAAGTTTAATGTGTATAGCATAATGACTTGACTTACATATATTATAACATGATTATCACAATAGGTTTAATGAATATCCACCATCTCATATAGAAACAAAAAAAGAAAAAAGAAAAAAATTGTTTTATCCTTGGGATGAGAGCTCAAAATTTATTCTCTTAGGAAATTTCAAATATACTATACTGATAATTACATTCAATTTAAATGTCTCAACAGCCCAACCAAAAGACATAGATGGTCACATTGGACAAAAAAGTCAGATCCAGCTATTTGCTAGCCACAGGTAACCCACTTTAAATATAAATGCAAAGATAGGCTCAAGGTAAAAAGATGAATATAGATAGACCACGTAAGTAAGCACTAATCAATAGAACACTGGAATGGCTATGTTCATATCAGACAAAGCAAATTTCAGAACATGGATTGAAAGAGAGACAATATATAGTGATAAAGGAGTCAGTTAAGAAGAAAACAATTCTAAAACTATGTGCAACTAATAACAAATCTCCAAAATACACAAGGCAAAACCTGATAGAACTGAAAGGGGAAACAGTTGACTAACGTGATCAACTAGAACATTATATCCAACAATAGCAGAAGGACAATGCATTCTTTTTCAAGTGCACATGAAATTCGTCAAGATGGACCATATTCTGGGCCATAGACCAAATGTCAAAAATTTTAAGAGGAT